ACTAACAGGAGCTATGTTTACAGGGCCACGAGGCCGAGGTGTTCGTCCTGGAGCCGCACCCGTTAGACCCCCGGATCATCCTGTCTGCCGGCCACGACGGGAACGTCTTCATATGGGATCTGCTGCGAGGAACCAGCACCCAGCACTACTTCAACATGGTACAGTGACACTATGAGAACATGACATTACATAGTGGTAAACAAAACCCTTCTGTGACACGATAAACAAACAATACTAGGGATGCACCTTTTTAAATAGGCAGGCATTCGCCCTATACACTGCCAAAGGCAAAAAACTAGGGATGTCCCGATCACCTTTTTTTGCTCCCGATCCGATTCCGATCATTTGATTTTGACAATTTGCCGATGCCGATTTTTCCCGATCCGATCTTTATGCAATGCATTAAGAGAAAAAAAAGAAAAAAAGCATTCAAGTGGTCCCTCAAGGTTATTTTTTTATTTAAATTGGATATTCTATCCAACATGGATATAGCTTCTTTCTTTCACAGCAGCATTGGATCAGTTCAGTTGTGCAGCATTGGATCAAAACAAAATAAAGCTTTCAGTACTCGTTAGCTTACTGCTACAATTAGACAATGCGCCCTGCCCACTCTGTTGCCAGATTTGAGAGAAATAAGCAACCAGGTCTATGAAAACAAGCCCCAAAGAAGCAACACATACATGATGTTCTGTCATTTGAAACCAAAACTAAGGCCTCAGGATGACTTTAAGACTTGAACATGGTCATTTTTGTTTGTAACATTGAATACAAAATTAAAAAAAATTATTATAAAAAGAATCCCGATCCCCGATTTTTTTTCTCCCGATTCCGATCTTTTGAAAATCACGTGATCGGCGATCCCCGATTTTTTTTCTCCCGATTCCGATCTTTTGAAAATCACGTGATCGGGGATCGGAGCCGATCACGTGATTTTCGGATCGGGACATCTCTACAAAAAAACGGTGACATTCGCCCGTGGCAGTAGCCGAGGTTCACATATCTAGCTGGGCCAGGTGACCACTGACTGAGGAGATGTGCTGTAACTTTGAAGTCTTTCACGGTGTAGTTCTCTGCTGCTTCACAATCTACATAATGACTTTTGTCCTGTTGTGATTTTGTGTTTCTCTCACAGATTGAGGGCCAGGGACATGGGGCCGTTTTTGACTGCAAGTTCACCCCAGATGGTCATCGCTTCGCCTGCACGGACTCTCATGGCCATCTGCTCATCTTTGGTTTCGGCAGCTCCAAGCCGTATGAAAAGGTAAGGAAACGTGTCACATGCACATTTCAATCTTTACAAAAACAATGTATTATTGTAACCGGATGAAAGCTTATATTTGAATTCACTTGAGAGTGACCAAAGCTTCAGGGTGCCTTACACTTCCTCTCTCCTGGTCTCCTCACAGCTTCCAGACCAGGTGTTCTTCCACACAGACTACCGGCCGCTGATCCGGGACACCAACGGCTTCGTGCTGGACGAGCAGACGCAGCAGGCCCCCCATCTCATGCCCCCACCCTTCCTGGTGGACGTGGACGGAAACCCCCATCCACCAAAGTAGACATCCAATCTTTATTTATACCTGCGGTTCATGTTTTTCAATGTTAGGTCCATGCAATAAAATAATAAAAACAAAATATTGGTTTGAGTTAAAGATGGATGACCTTCAGCTGTGTGAAACATAAAATCTGTCTTCATTTATTCATGCAGTTAAGTAATGTCTTTACTTGATTTTCAGGTACCAGCGTCTCGTCCCAGGCCGGGAGAACATTTCTGCCGAACACCTGGTTCCTCAGCTGGGATACGTCGCCACCAGTAAGAATTGAACCAACCACACAATTGTATTTTTTTATATCCATTTCACAGTTTTAGTCAGGACTTTTAAGTTCTGTGAACCTGTGCTACCACCTCACTTCCTGTTTCATGACTTTGCCTCCAGGTGACGGCGAGGTGGTGGAGCAGGTGATCAGCCAGCAGACCTCAGAGCACGACGAGGCTGCGATCAGACGCAGCACCCTGTTGGACGAGGCCATCCGAAACCTGCAGATCCAGCAGGACCAGCAGGGCCAGCCCGGGGAGGGGGAGGCCGCTCCGGGGGCCGCAGCAGCACCGGAGGGGCAAGCTGAGGCTCAGGGACTATTCTTGGTACCGGCACCAAGCACCCCACGCAGAGGTATCAGTGAGGACTATAAACCTATCTTTTAGTCACAGTAGTCACTTGAATCAAAAGGAAGTCACAATCCGTTCTACAATTTAGTATTGTTGATTAATTTACTTCATAAAAACATGCTATATGTCAGATTATAGCTGAAAGCTTATTTCCGTCTGCAGTCCCTCGGCAGGAAAACACATAATCCAAGTGGCCTAGATTAATGCATTTAACTTTAACATTTTCAAAATTGGGGTGAAACATCATTGTTTATACAAACAACAAAACAGCATAACCTTGTTAGTTTCATGATACAACTTTTTTCACACTGTTACTCTCAATTACACACGTATATAAAATAATGAAACAAGCAAATGACTATATTAATCTTGGAGAAATATCTCTTATAATGAAATAACAACATTGTAAGGCTAAACTTACAGCTCCCATTTACGGAAGGTTAATGTTTGTCCTTCTTTACAGTGTCTGTGAATGAACGAGCGGACGTGCAGTCGCCCCCCAACGTAGGTCTGCGCCGCAGCGGGCAGGTGGAGGGGGTCCGCCAGATGCACCAGAACGCCCCTCGCAGCCAGATGGCCACAGAGAGGGACCTGCAGGCCTGGAGGCGCAGGGTGGTGGTGCCGGAGGTGGCGCCCAGCAGCTACAGGTACCTGAGAGGGACAAACTACATCTACCATTCACAGAGAAACCAACCACACACAGACTTTAGGTTGACAGAGGAACATTTATCATTTTTAACATCCGTGTGAACCTCTGCTACCATCCCACTTCCTGTTTTCGTACTTTGTCTCCAGGTGATGGCGAGGTCAGGCATGACCTCGCCATCACCTGGAAGGCTTGGACTGAAAAAGTCTGAGCTCTCAGTGGTGTTTTAAAAATGCATATGTCTAAATGCGCCCAGCAAGCAACAGCATTTTTTTTTAAATGTTGCTCTAAATGTTTTTCACTATTCATTGTTTTTCAGGGAGCAGGAGAACTTTCGAACAGCCAGAGGAGATGAGGAGATGTCTCTGTACAACGCCAAGAAGAGACGCATTATCCACAGCAGCTGTCGAGTACGTTTCTGTTTACTTTGCTTCAATGTAGGAGGTCTACAATGATAAGATAAGATGGTACTTTTACTTATACTTAGTCCGGCAGTGGCGCTCAGTCAGTAGGGGCTTGGACTTTGAACCGTAGGGTCGCCGGTTCAAGTCCCCGACCAGACCTAAAATATGGAGTGTGGCCTGCTACTTGGAGAGGTCCCAGTTCACCTCCTGCCCTACCGTGGTGCCCTTGAGCAAGGCACCGGACACCCCCCCCCTCTCTCACAGTCAAGGCTCTGTCACCTTTTTAGTTTTTGATATAATCTTACATAAAGACAACGTCTGTGACATAATATGGGGTCTGACAGAATAACAAGCTCTTGTTGTGTGGATATAGAATATTTCCAATATGATGGGTGACAGATGGCGACAGCGCTAATGCTAATTTGGTTTGGTTCTTACTCGTCAAGTGAAGATATCTCCGATAATATTATGAGTTCAGATTAAGGCATTGTGACACGGCTGCTGCCGCGTTTCCGTATGCTGCGAACGCACCGGAACAACACTCCGCGAGTTTTTTTTGTCTATGTACACACATGCTTATAGGCACTACGGTTATGCCCAGAATGAAAAGTAACTTTTTGAAGTGGGAAAGAAGCTGTGATGAGCCCCTCCTTCATACTACTGTATAACACTGTTACAATGACCCACATACAATCATAGATCGATGCAGACTGGTGAACTGACTCTCCTGCTGCCCTGGACTCTGGCTCAGCCCAGCCCACACAAGTGGTGCCATGCAGGGGTGTGGTGTGCTTTTATTGTTTTTGGGCGGTGGTGGCGAAGTCGATAGGGAGTTGGCTTGGCAACTGGAAGGTCACCAGTTCAAGTCCCGGCAAGACCAAGTGCTACCGAGGTGTCCCTGAGCAAGGCACCGTTCCCTACACTGCTCCCCGGGCGCCATTCAAAATGGCAGCACACTGCTCCTAACACTAGGATGGGTCAAATGCGGAGAATAATTTCCCCACGAGGGATTAATAAGAATCCATCTATCTATTTTAGTTTAAGAAACGGGTCGCACCTTTAACCTACAGTTGTGGCCGGTTTCGAATGTTATGTAGCCCATGTCAATGAACTCTTTCCAGTCAGAAATGTTTTTGTTTTTCAGTCCCAGTCCGCCCCTGTATGATTTTGTTTACAACTATTTCTGTACAAATATTCGCGCTGGTGTTGAGTCCGCTCCATCTGTCCCTCAGGACGACTCGGACGAGGATGAAGCTGCGAGGCGAGCACACGCAGGGCTGGAGTTCATGGACCTGTCCTGTGAGGAGGGGGAGGAGACGGCCAGTTCAGAGGTACACAGCGAGATATCACACCCTCCACTCCACTGGGACCAGGGCTGGGAGGGTTACTTTAAACATGTAATCTGTCAGAATGACCTGTAGGAGAATACTGTTACCTTTTTTTTTTGTATCCTGTATACGTAATCCCGTACATGTTGTCCGTTACTCCCCAAGCCTGTCTGTGACTATATTTATATGCATCTGCTGTCTTTTGGATCTGCTGGATCATCAGCTGGATTTTAAACAATTCCCTTTTTTATTTCGTTTATCTCTTCAGGAGGGCGAGTTGGATGGCAGTGAAATGGATTCATCCAATGATGAGGAAGAGTGGAAAAGTGACAGCTCAAGGTAAAAAGTCGTTAAGTGTTCTTATCTGAACTTGCTAAGAGTACCAGATAAAGATACAAAAGTTTCATCGTTGCACAAACATTGAATCACTACTTTTTAAAGAGGACATATTTTACTTCCTCTACTGTGTTAAGTTTCCATGCTTTAATTACATTTTCCGGGTCTGCTGTGATTGGTCGACCACTTAGAGATGTCCAGCCCATTAGCCTATCACGTACAATGTGTTGGAGCGCTAGACAATAGAGTGGTGCAGTGACGAGTCCTAAAACCCGGAAGGGGAGTTAGCATTTTACCACTACCGGTTCCCTCGTCTCAGAGCCAATGGGATTTCTCCAAATAAGGTCTGTGGTTGACACAAATCAAAGAGACGGATCACGTTTTGTTCTACGACATTAAATACATCAGCAGTAGGGGTGGGCGATATTGAAAAATATATTATCACGATATTTTTCAAGAAGTATCACGATAGACGATATATATCACGATATTGTTTCATGTCGGTTATTATGGTTATTTTTCAAGTTACTTAACAGAACAACCACCTACAAGGTAACAGAAACTAAAACAAAAAGGAGTAACAGACCAAAATAGCATTTCAAGCTGGTTTTATTTCTGAAATGAATCCCTGAATGAACAATTCAACATTTTGATATGGCTTCAAGGCACAGTTTCTCAGTATAAAAATGAACTTTCTGAGGTAGCACTAGCAGTGAACATCAATAAACATGAAAAGGAGGGTAAAACATAACTAAGTAAAACATAAAACATCAATGAGGAAAAGTCAGTGCCAAACAATTAAAATGTAAACTTTAGACTTGAAGTGCAATAAAAGACTTTAGCATAACTGAAGGGAAAAACTATATAAATACCTTATTGATTAAATCAAATATAAGCCAACAGAATCAAACAAGACAATAAATAAAGTGCAATACTGTCTGAATCCTGACTAGACGGCTTTAGAGCATGTCTTTCACTTCAGTTTATTTTTTTAATATATTTTGTTTCCAATTTTTTTTTTTTCAATTTTTTTTTCAATTTTTTTTATCACCATAGATTCGATATCTCTGAAAAAGCATATCGTGGAGACCTAATATCGTCACGACGATATATATCGTCATATCGCCCACCCCTAGTACCACCTTCTGTAAATTACTATGAGGTATATTGTAAATATCGCAAATTTGTATCACTTATGTGGTAAATAGTCAAATATTACCACTGCAGTTCTTTAAACAAGTTGGTAAAACCCTTGCTGTGGATTAAATGACAGAAACGGCTCTGAATCTACTTTTCTAACAGTTATTCGCCGATACACTTTAATTCCTGTTACGTATCCTTACTAGTTGCATTGGGGGGTATTGTTTTATTTGACACACGTATACACATTTCTTTTCCACATTTTGTTTATTCAATATACAATTGTTCTCTTTGGAGCTGTCTTGTTACGATCGACAAAGGGGGACCGGAGACCATAAATAAAATTCGAGTCTATCCGTTTCGACTCCCGACAATCCTAAGGTATAAGAATTACATGTCTATAACGTTTCGCCATTAGTTAGGACAGATAATGAAGCCGGTTCTTTCGTCTACTTTTCTAATTGAAGTATTTGTAACTTTTGTAAGAAATTATGTTTTAAACAATTGTAAACTTCGCTTACGTGCAACAAGACGAGACCATGTATTTGTGCAACTTAAAATCTTTTGTGTGAAACTTCGAAGTCTACATCCGGAATGTTGTTTTCAGCCCAAGAAGTCTATTTTAGTATGCTAATGTCATGT